CACATTTCGCTTTATGCGTTAAGATGGTGCCAAAAATATGAATTGGACTACGGCCGCATGAATTATCGAATACAAACGCCATAGTTAGTTGTCCTTGGTAATGTGGTGAAATATTGGTAGCTCGGGTGAGTTTATTGGTTGTTGATCAGGTGGCTGTTGATCTGTTCGCAATTGGCTTGCAAACGTTTTGTCACCATACGAGGATACATCATCAGTGCGCACTGATGAGAGAAAGGCAATAGTAACCTGAAGAGCAAGAGCCGGTTGAAGTTTATGGTGGACATGTTTTTGTATGTTTCAGTGACCGTCTCAGAGGAATTTCATTGATGTAGCACCTACTACCACTGTGTGTACTAATGATGGTGTTGACGAGCGTCTTCTTGGTTATCTAAATCCGAACCACTATTGTTGTTTAACACATTGGTCTCTCCCTCTTTTGACAAACGGAATTTCACTGTATTTCTCGTTCATCTGAAGTGTCATACCTTCACCACTTGGAGCATCTTTGCGCTCGCTACTCAGCGTTTAATGTTTCTGTCTATCTTGCTTTCTGTCAGCGCCTCGTTGCCATGCCATCCTCAATGTGCCACCTCCGAAGCCCAGTCATACCTTCACCACTTGGAGCATCTTTATACGCGCTACTCAGCGTTTAATGTTTCTGTCTATCTTGCTTTCTGTCAGCGCCTCGTTGCCATGCCATCCTCAATGTGCCACCTGCTTCCGAAGCCCATTCGATTGTCTGACCTGCCCACATGACCGTGTTCTTCTTCCGAATGTACTGATCGAACAGGTACGTTCCAAGCTACTGTTCCACACCGCCAGCCTACGGAGCCGAGCACAACAGACAGAATCCACCACTCCGATTGCAATGACTTCATCCTACCTATGCCCCAGTGTCTGTCCTCACGGCACTTTCGCCGACCGATCAGGTGATGGAACGATTTGTCGGGCATGTTCACCTTCTTGTTCAAGATGCACTGGTAAGTATCCTTATCCGGTCACCCAGCTGGCCTTCACTTTTTTCAAGGAAATATTTTTTTTACGTAGCTTAGAACTTCTTGAGCCACCAGGGAGCTAGACCTAATCCAATAATCAACATCGCTTTCGTGATGGACAATCTGAGGACCAACTTTGCATACACCATCACATTTCTGCATGGTTGCTCTCTTTTCCATTTTTCAATACGGTCCACTTTCGTTTCGCATGCTGGAAGTTCACCTTCGGTTGCATATCTGGTATGTCACATAGACAAGATCCCCTTGGTTCTAAAAGGTCGTCAGAAGCACAAAACGTAAAGTGCTCAGGAGGAACTTTTCTTCTGGTTCATTTGAGTCAACTGCAGTATTCATGCTAGACCAAAATTGTTTCTCTCCAGTCTTAACAAAGTTCTGCCGAATGTCTTATCGTTGGCGCGGGTACACTCGTACGCACCATGTTTAGCCAAGTCTCCGGGCCCATTTAGCTGATATCGAAATCGCCACTACCATTCTCTCTATTTCACCGGCTTTTCAACTGTGGTTTCAGCTGAATCTCACTGCCTCGAATGCTGGCCCTCGTTTTATTTGGCTTGGGGTACCGGTCGTTGCCTTCCCCGGGTACTTTGCCGACAATCGGAGTATTACGATGCCGTTGACCGAGTGAGTTCCCTGACCCCAGAACGACTCTTTACACGTTGTTCAAACGGGGGGTGAGATTGCTCAAGTGGTTAGAGCGCGAATTTACTGACCGGAAGGTCCATGGTTCGAACCCGACCTCTGCCTCTCGACTCCCCCTGTCTGGGCTTGGGCAACCTGGCAGTATCCCAGCCCTCGTGCTTCCTTCGGGTGGCATGGCAGCTAGGCACCGAAAAGGTGCTACAGCTGAACGCTTTCCTTATTTTTTTTGTTCAAACGAAGTATGCATGAATTACGTTATACTTGAATCTACGTTCACTGTCCGTCAAATCAAATAGCATCTTAGTGAAACAACTTCGAACCCAAGCAGATGTGAGGTCATCCGTTTATCCTAGCTGTGCTGTTTGTGGACAACTATGCGCTAGCACACAATCCCATGTCAACAAACATTTGGTTGGTCATCGTTGCTGGCGTATTATTGCTCTCTTGATTGTTTGTCGACCGAGTTTCTCACTGTTTTATTCGTCAAATCGGTCTCTCTTTCTCAGACTTGCCTCCCATGCGCCGCTGGCTGTGCGACCTGTATTGGTCCTTTACCAACCCACTGTACAAGCTGTTCAACACTTCCGCCCACACCAAGCTGCTTGTATGTGACTGGAAGTGAAGAGTCGAAATCCAACGCGGATTTGACAGACTCTCCTTGGGGACAATGCGTGCCCTGTTGTCCCTACCGGGTTGCACTGCTAAGTCGTTCTCCAAAAGACTGTATGTTTTGTGTAGCAGACAGAGGTAGGTTTTTCACTTTTCGTGTATTCTGCTGTTTTTGTTTGTTACCTTCGTTGGAGCTGCGCCCATGAACGAGCTGCACTCGAACGAGATGTGACCGATGGATCGGTCATCCATCGGTTCTCCCTACATTTAAAGTGCGCTGCCCGAAACCGTCACACTAGAATGGGAAGAGCATTGTTCGAACGAATATGGCGTGGGCACAATTCCTCTAAAAACCAACTAATCTAAGTTCAAACCACATGCTAAAAATGTCCGTGGCACACTATCCCGTTAGGAATTCCCGACAGATGGGCAATCGGTCAGCACAACCAGGGCAGTCATTCAGTCGCCGTTCGAGTCTTCAGGGTAACCGCACTCGTTGCTCAGGTGCGATGATTCGTTCAGAAGCACCCATCGTGGAACTTTTGCGTGTCCTTTGACCTTATTTCAAATTTTGATACGATCAACTGAGAGAATGTTTCACTTTTTGATAGCACTGAGGGCATTCCGATACTCTCGTGATTCGGGATTACACTATCTCAAACTCGTGTGAGCTCTTGATTCAAATTAACTCACAACACTGGCGAATGTCTTAGAAAAACGTGCTGCAATTCCGTAGTGATCGAATGGCTAGTTATTAGTATTAACAGATGAACTGATCACACTGCATAGGTTGCCCTGGCTTGGCCACGTGATGCGTATGCCACTCGACCGAATTCCTCGAAGGGTTCTTTTCGCACAACCACGCGAAGGGTGGAAGAGAGCCGGAGGGGGCCAAACAATGGCTTGGTAGCGATTTATAAAAGCCAGTACTAGCAAACTCATCTGAGCTGGTCATTGCCGTCTTCCTGGATGGGGACCCCGAGACGGGCCACATCAATGGCTAGAGACATTATCAGATATGGCCCAGTCGCGTCCTCAATGGCGCTCGTGCATCCAAGCTATTGCCTTCAGTGCATAGCTCCTTTTCCAACCCCCCCATTTGACAGCTCATTGACAGTTCTAGATTTATGCACCAATTTATCAGCTCCCGCCTCCAATGCGCAGCCACCTAATCATCGGTGAACGAACCTGTGGCAGCTACAATTACTGTACGACGAGTATGCGGCTATTACAACTGAGAATGATGATGATATTAGTATTGATGAGTTGTGTAGTTCTCAATTCGTTGTGCAGCTTACTAGTCTGGAAATGAGAATGACCTCTCCGTAGATTTTGGTATGATGGATGGGGTTGCTTTGTACCGTAAACCTGCCTTACCAAGTCCGCAATCCAGCCAGCTATGTACACAGTTCGACCAACCGTACTCCAACAAGCAGGATACCACAGGGAAAGGAAAGACTAAGCATCTACCAGTGAGTCGTTTCCACCCGGGGGACTCGCACACTATGTTTTGACCCTAATTGGAGTGCTCTCCCCTCCAGTGTTTGCCCCTTGGTCAGGGTGCCGTACCGAAATCCCCCTCAATAATGATTCAAAGAGATGTCGGAAATCTGTAGAAGAATCTTTAGAGGCATTACGAAATTCAGTTCCTTATAGGAAGTGGTGTCTCCGTTAAGAAACAACTGCGGTGGCCCCTTTAAGGTGCTCTTTCCGATTCAGCTTGACCGCCCGCAATGTCATTGTTTACTTTGTCTACATGAGTCGATGATTCGCAGCAATCTGATAAAGCTTCGGAAATCCCAGAGCACCACGATACCTATCACCACTCAGCAATCGGTAAATTCCTCATCCACTTGCAGTCAACTTTTACTAAGTCCGGCATTACTTACAACCCTACTAAGTGGTATGAACCGCTGTGAAAATATCGGACTAACCGCATCATGTGGCTCTCTCTTGAAATTCACTTGATCTATCGCGTATCAAACAATATATCCCGAATCTCGGTTAAATTACAGCATTGTTTAACCATAGTGGTTTCCCATTCTCTCGTTTTTTGATAGCTTCCTGCATGAGCGGACACGAAATCAATGCTGGGGAAGGGTTACTGTTTGAGGAAGTCACCCCGGCCCCGGAGATGATACCTTCGTGGTTAACAAAGGAGCCTTCCAGACTGATTTTGTTTGTCCTCTGTGGCTTCCTGATGGTAGGCGTGTGTACATTTCTAACCATCCACACTATCTATACGTGGAGACGGCGCCGGCCTCGTGGAGGAGAACCGAACACTATGGCCGTAAGGCATCGTCGACGACGCGAAGTCGATGGGCCAAACTATTCAGAGGAAGAAGATGGAGCAAAGATGTCATTGAAACTTACCAGTAGTAAAGGAGGAGTTGATATTGTAGACGGGACTGGCAATAGCACAATGGGTCTGGACAACGGATTCCCGCAGAACGCTGCTGTACCGGATAGTGAGCCGATACACAAAACGGCTGCAGATACACTCGTTACAAGTTCAAACAGCACTCCTCCGCATCTAGACCGGCCTCGTCGTGTACTCTATGTTCATCCAGTTTATCCTGCCCCGTCAGAGACGGGCGCAGCCCAAACGGGGCCTCAACCTTGTGCAGCCTGTACAACCCATCTACCAGATGAATACTGCTCTAGATCCGTCCCACTTCCCACGAAACAAAGACATGACGAGATCTCTGTTTCCATCGGTGGAACGGGAGCCTTTGTAAATGGTTCCGCATCAACCACTGTTGTTTCTAGCTCGAACTTACAGCACACAAACAAGCCCAGGGAGATAAAGCCTTTTTGATCGCTTTTTCCTCGCTTTCAAGCTTTTTATTCCACGTAGTTGACTTTATCATTACTTTCAATTTTCACCGAGTTCTCTGAAGACACAAAGCTGGAAACCGTTTTGTATACTCTACTTCCTCCGTGTTTTCTCAATCGAGCATATTACGAGCGTTTCTCCTATTTTTTCTATCATGTATGAATCTATATTCGATACCAGATTTAACAAACTCATCAGTCGGTGCACTCCTCTTCAATTGGTTTTTTTCTGTAAATGTCTACGATCTGCTCCTATATGTTGTCTTCACTCGCTTGATCTCAACTTTCCTCTCCCACACGCTCCGTGATTCTTGTTCATTCTGTGATGCTCTGGTTCTGAAATTCACTTCGCCCCATGTTTCAAGGTTGATGAGAGATGACAACTCTGGTTTCACGTCGCATCTACGTCCCCAATACTGCACACACGACGCGCTCCCCTGTGCACCTATTTTATTGGAAATCAGGTTTTTCTATCTTTTAAACTGGGGGGTTGTGAAATAGAGTGGTAGTTGTACATGCTTGTTTCGCCGTTTTCAAACAGTTTTTGGTGTTGTTTTATACGCACATCGTCTACGTACGACACACCCTACTATGTCTTCCAGTTGCTGTGCCTTTATCGCTTCACGTCACATTGACCTACTACTAGTAAAGAGATGCCCGTCCGTGGAATTACTTTAGAGTTTCGATTGTTTCACGGTGTAAAGTTTTTTCGATCGTTCTCTACATTTTCTTCTATTGCTATCATCATCAACTCTTTTTTAAACTTCGAAGTTGGAATTTCGTCTTTTCTATTTTTGATAGCAGAAGGGAATCATCATCATTGTCAGCTGTAATGACCGCGTACTTGTCGTACATTGGTTGTAGCTGCCACAGTTTCGTTCGCCGATGATTCGGAGAGGTGGGGTAGGTAGCTGCG